GAATTTTTGTCCGACATGCGGACACACGCGTCAAGGCAGCGGGAGATTGGCCGAGGGGCGGTACGAACAAGTGTACCGCGCAAGGCGGAAAACTCGCCTTCGGCGCTACGCCCCCATGTCCGCAGGGCGACACGCTCGCGGAGTTCAAATCCGCCAATTCGAGCGTGAGAGTTTAATCGACGACGGCGGAGCGTGAAGCCGCGCGTGAGAGCGAAGACCGTTCCAGCGTACAGCCGGCGCGGCCATCAAGTGAGACGTTCTTCACGACCAAGAGCCGACCATGACCTTCGACCGGGCGGCGGAGAACGTCCCATTCTTGAATTCGCGATTCCAATCTCTTGTGCGCGCTGCGCGCATCCATCTGCTGGCTGCGGAACATTCTCGACGTCGTCACTCAGGAGATTTCTTGTTGATTGAGGGAGAAGTGAGTGCGCGTGATTTGGAATTGAGAGCGATTAGAGTTTGCCGAGAGAGAAAGAAACGTGGACAGTGCGGAAGTAGAATGAGCGGGCGAGCGAACCCAAGGAACGCAATGACGAGACCGAGCAGATTGCGGATGGTGCCACTTCGCCTGCCGCAGAACGGGCTGCGCGCTTTTGAGGAGCGCTTAATAGCAAGAAAGCTCGATTTCTTGCTATGGGGATGGAATTACATCTGCGCGAATATGGTGCGCGAGTGGCTAGAGCCACAGGGAGCACCCTCGCGCGGATTGCGTCCGCATGTTGACCGGTGGACAGTCCAAGATTGGGCGCAGGCGTTGGGAAGATGTGCTGGCATGCCAGGGCATCTCCTTTTCGACAGCGAGAGCATCAAGGTGACCAAGCAAGAAGAGGCGCAATTTGTGGAGCTGTTCAAGACCGGGAGGTCTACCAAGAATGGGTACAGGACCCGTGATTACAAGGATCGATTTCGCCGGACTCTGTCCGCGGCGCTGATGCAATTACTGCAGCCGCACCGCGCCTGCTACATCACATTGTGGCAGGTCTCTTTTGTGGAGTGCGTCATCGAGGGAACTCCAATTCACTGGGCGAGCATCCTGCACAGGGTGATGCGACAGCACGCGTTTGAGGAGAAGGGGGGAACTCTAAACCATCTTTCTCCTTTCCTCATCAATTTTTATCGACAGCGGAATTGTTTGACAGCGGCGGAGCTTGAACATTTTCCGCCATTGTCCATCGACCATCCCGGGAAGTATGTGCGGGAGAACGAGGTCGATACTGATGCAGAGGAGTCACCGACTTCTACCCCATCAAGACGGAGGGACGAAGGGAGACACACTCCCTTCGTCCCTGCAGCGCGAGTGCCGCGGAAGCGGCGATGGAGGGAAGAGTCTGAAGAGGAGCAGCATCAAGAACCCTCTGCTCCCATTCGACCGCGGCCGCTGTGCGAGCCATACAGCCGGCCGAAGCAGAAGGCACGCAGACTGGTGTTGCCAGCTGACAGTGCAGACACGGCGACGATTGCGACGGAGATAGGAAGTGCGTCGCCAGAGAGGCGAGAGGAAGCGCGGACGACCGCAGGAGCAACGGGCCACGCTGCAACCTCGTCGGGAGAGAGGCCGCCTACGGGCCAAGGGCCTCCGGAGTTACCACGTGCGATGCGGACAGATGTTCCGTTTGCGCACAGGCGAACCTCCGCGGACGGACGAGCCTCCGCGGACCGGCGAACACAAGTGGACGTGGATCTACGCTTACGCGTGGGAAGGAGCAGTCCGCCTGTGCACAGAACACCTCCGCACGTGCCGCCTGTGCACAGGCAAGAATCACCCCCGTTCCAACGTAGGAAGGGGAAGGAGCCGGCGGAAGAACCGCCTACGAGACACCGGCCCTCGGGGCCAGACCCTCCGGCGCACCACGCGCCGCAATTTGCGCCTTCGGCGCCAGGGCCTTCGAGCCGAGGAGATACGAGCAGAGAGCGTGCGGAGGCCGCACCATCGGCGGGAAGTCCGCCGATAGATGCGCCTTCGGCGGTAGGGCCTATAGGCCAAGGAACATCGGGCGTGCGGCCCCCGGCCATGTCGCCTTCGGCGATAGATGTCCGCGGCGCTACGCCTGCGGCGGACAAGGCGCCGGCAAATGCGCCTGCGCACGGGCCGGGCACAGCCCCCACGGACCGATCAAGGGAGCGGCAGACGGAGGAGCGGAGTGACTGTCCGCGGGATGAAATTTCGATGCGCGATGCGCAATCCAACCCCGCGCAGCCACCCTCCGCTCAATCGCCTTCGGCGACGGACGACGGCGACAGAGAGAATGCGGTAGGCAATCAACCAGCGAACGACGGGGATGCCGCTCGGGTACATTCGCCTTCCGCCTTAGACATTTTGGCGACGAGCAGCGAGGCTGCAGCCGTGCCTTCGCAGGCAGCACACGTCGAGGACGTGCAGCCCCACTCGGGGCAGTCGCCGACGCAATCAATGGCGACTGAAATTCTCCACTCGGATGATGACGACGGAGGCTCCACGGAAGAAATGTCAGGAGCAGAAGACACCGAGGAGGAGGAGGAGGAAATTGTTGGAGCGCCGGCGGCGGCGCTCTCTGAGCAGGTGATTCCGTTGCTGCGGTACTTGGATCGCAAGGTCGATAAATACGCCGACCCACTCCAGCCGGGATCTTACATCGAGTTAGTGCGCAGGCGGACTCGCACTAAAGTCCACACCAGCAAGCTATTAGCTAGAGTGGACCAGGAGTTGAGGGACTTGAAGGAGAAGCATGAGTGCTTGTGGGGTCAGTACAAGCTTAATCAGAAATTCTACAAGCACTCCGAGAAGATGAAGGATGAGAAACTGGGCGAGCTCACCAAGGAGCAGGTGAAGGTCAAGGAAGCACTCGATTCTGAGCAGGCCCAGAATCGGATTTTGTCAGAGGAGCTCGTGCGACAGACGCGGTTGTTGGAACAATGTCAGCTCGCACGGCAGGCGGATGAAGAGTTAATCCGCAGGTTACAGTCAGAGTGTGGCGAATTGAGAGCGCAACGTGCTGAAGCCGAATCGCAATTAGTGATAATTGAAGAGGAACGCAGGAAGGAGGCGGATCGCACGAAGGTGGAGACGGCGAGGCGAGTCGCCCACTGTCTCAAGGGCTACGCCCACTGGGAAGTGAAGGCGCAGGAGAAACTCACGCTGCGAGAGTTTGAATTGCGCGCAGCCGGGTTGTTGTCAAGCGACATTAGGAGTCGGCGGAAGGTAGCGAAGAAGCTCGAGGCCTTTCTGTCGAAGGCACAGGATACCATGTCCGCCCTCGAGGGGGAGGTGTCCGCGGCGTTGCAGCGGTTGGGACTGCGCAGTCGAGCGGAAGAGTGGCAGGGTAGGGAGTTAGTGCGCGGCAGTCGGCCGCGCAGGAGACGTAGTACAGGTTCCGCGGAGTGTAGTGTAGCGTGGTTCCGTGCAGGCGTGTAGCGTAGCACAGTGTAGTGCTAGGTAGGACTTAGAAGGTATAAAATAGTTCCAGGCGTTTTGCCTGGGGTTCTTTCCCATCAGAAGTGCAGATCAGGAACCCATTTCCTTTGCGTGTTTGTGTCCTTGAGTTCTGTCACCACGCACGAGGAGTTACAACTTAGCGTTCCGCATTTTGTAGCTGAAGGCCTTCGGCCGAATGTTCAGAGCTAGTACATTGGTTAGAAACTTGAGTAGTTCGGATCTGCACCTGCGGGTGACTGCCGATGCTCAGAGCCAGTGACTAGTTAGATACTTGAACAGTTTCGCCCCTACACCTTCGAGTGTTTCTTTCTGATTGTACTCCCTTGGGATTTTTCCCCTGAATGCCAAAGTGAAGTTTTGCTACTTCGTGTAAGCCTTGGTTGTAAATTCAGGTTACGCTGCAGCAGGTGCCTTGAGGGTAACCCCTGTAGTATTTCTGGGAGTGACAGTTGCCTGAGAATTCAAACTCCTCAATAGTCTGTTAAAACGTGACACTTTGTACCCTGTGTGTTCCTCTGTCCCTGTGGGTTCGACCTTTCTACCACTATATTGCAGTTTTAGCCTTTAGTGGGTTATTACATATACGAAGCTTGATGTAAGCATAGTCACAAATTCGTGAGCAAAGACATGGAGGTAAAGACGCTGCTAGTACATTGTTAGCATCACTTTTTGGCTTGATAGCATGTATCCTTACCTGCTAAACTAACAACTAGATTTTCAACAAAACAAACCACAACATTCTTAAGAGCATCAGACAAGTTATCAAATAACATTGCAATAAATGAACCACTTACTCAAAAAAACTGCACAACAACGTCCTTGGCAAAACCAGATCAGAGAAGTTATCAAATAACATCGCAATAAACGAATCACACATTAAAAAAAGTGCACAACAACGTCATTGGCAATCTTGTAAAAAGCGTTATAACACCATATCAGATACATTATCAAAAAAAATCACAATAAACAAATCACACACTCAAAAAAAGTGCACAACAACATACTTGACAATCTTGTTAAAATTGTTATAACACCATATGCCCTGATTTTGTTCTTGAATTTGCGATTTGGCAAGTGTACCTTGCAATTCTATTACGTTCCAAAGTTAAAAGAATCTAAAGAAGATGACTTTATGTTATGTTACTAGCAATGAAGAATACTGAAAGGTTTTGCACAAAATGTCAATCTATGTAAATATTGGGATAAGTAAAAATAATACAATCCACCACATTATAGTGGATTTGAATCAATCATTTATTAAAATTATTTTAATTTTTGTATTCAACAAAACGACAACGATAGGTTGAAAACCACGGCAACACTTTTACCAACGATAACCAATGAGTCATAGCAACCTTTGGACATTTATATGGCATTTTGTTGCTATCTACGCTAAAATCCGATGATGACAATGAACGTTGAATAAATTTCTTTGTTGAGATATATGGAAATGACAGCTTAAATCAATTGATGTGCACCACAAGGAATTAAATGCCAGATTGCACTTCTTTGAATACATCGACAGGTAGCGTTATACTTAGATTCCAGAGAATCTGTTTCGGATTTTATTTAAAACATGAACCGAACAATTCTTCAGACTTGTGTTTGTCATAAATCTAATTTTGCGATGTAGATGATATAAAAACGAGGACATTCAAAAGCGTATTCAGTTAAATGTCACTAACGCGTTGAAGTAAGAGTAATGACATACAACTCAGCATGACATTCTCAAGCCTTGCGGCACCGATATTTCTGCCCCCATTTATTATGTAATAAGACCGGTCACTTCCAGTTTATTCTCGGCATAATGCAATAAATAGAGCAAATCTAGAGCTATTCTTGCTTCTCCCTCTTGCTTCATAGAGTGGAAGAAATCTAGATTGGGTACACGGGCCACATAGCAATGCCACACAGTCCACGCGGGTCGTCCACGTTGCGCTTCATGCGAATATAGCCATCTTCGCCCCACGAGCTTTTGCCCCACGAGTTCTTCACTATCCAGTAGTCAGTTCCGCCTTCAGTCCCGTAGCCCACGACCGTCACCGCGTGGTTCAAGTTTGTGGAGCAGGGTCCGTCGAAGATTCCCTGAAATCCATGGGGTGCAAGGTTTAGCGGAGCTGGATACTAATATGTCCGGGCTTTTAAGTGAATTTTAAGCGGCGTCACGTGACCAGATTGGATGGAGTGCTGAATCTTACGCTCTGATACAATTGTATGTAGCTTGCATCGATAGCAACAACCACAGGCTGCTTTGCCACAGCTTGTTTTAGATCTTTCTCACTGTTTGATGTTACGTCGACGTAATTGTCAATGGTGACAACACCCTGCACAAGTCCAAGAGTGGAATGTGTGAAAGCTTGAGCTGCGAGAAGGTGCATCAGATCAGTGAGATATTCTGATCCTGTTCTTTATTTGAAGTACGGGAGTTTTGTACCTTTTCAATTTGACAAAGTTGGTCGTAAGCACGGTAAGGATAGCGATCTTCTGTTGTTAAGCCACCATTTGCAATCACGAAATCGAATGCCACATCCATTATGCCCCCGTTGCATCCTGCATTCTCCAAGTTGCAGTCCACCAATTGCTGCTCAGACAGGTCGACCAATTCCCCTGTTTTAATCTGATGTATTCCTTCGATAGCTGCAACCGTAGCAAAGGACCAGCAGCTACCTGCAACATGATTGAAATATGGTGAATTCCATCTTCTCCCTGATATAATTTGATAATCTCCATGGCTGCTAAATAATAACGAGAATGAATTGAGCGGCTGCTAAAAGAAAATGTAGTATAATAAGCAGTTCATCTCCTCTGAGAGCTTCCGTATCCGAATTCAAATCCAGTTCCTGTCAAAGAGAGCAACGAAGTGTATGGATGCTTACCACATTGTCCCTGACTCTTTACCGGCGTTACAGCCCCCTTTTTCCTCCAGTCTACAGAGTCGACGGCGATAGATTCCTCCTGAGATGATTTGAGCAAGGTTTTCTGAAAGGTTCTGTTTCCTTTTTTGAACTTGCGTTGCAGGCGTTTCGCTTTGAATTCTTTTGCGCTAAGATCTACAAACTTGGTTAATCCTAGTTTATAGGACGAAGACTTTTTGTTGTGTTGCTCGATCATTTTGAGATTGTTCTTGAACTGACTGCAGGCCTTACTCTTCAAAGTTTTGTTGCTGTACGATACAGTCCTATTGCCGGTCCACTGGATGAACTGGGTCTCGGCATATTGGTCCCAATCTTTCCCTAATTGAGAATTGTCCCGTTCATTTCCACGGACGGTGCAAGATAGTGTGAACAAAGTTGGCAGAAGCAGAAGAGCTTGGAAGGTTCTCATATTGAAAGATTTGCTAGAGGGAGAATCCACAGTTGTCTGAAAGTTGTCTGACATTCAGACCAGTCCAGAGACAGATTTCAGAAGACATAATCACCATCCAAATAATAGTTAGCAGACTGATATACATGGTAAAATTCTAGACAGAAAGAAAGGAACACATTGCACATCTGGACTACCACTCCTCTACTTAATACATGATTACCAGTCGTTGCTTCGAGCAGCCTCGTGCATAAATGCATTCAGAATATACGACTCATTACTTGATTAAGCAAAAGTAACTCACATTCCCGCGTGAACTACGGCAGCTCCACGTGTTGATATGACTATATCCAACAAAGGACCTGAGATCACTCAACTGCGCTCTTGAAGAGAACTCAACACCCCTCGGAAATGCTTCACACAAGTGATGTGGTTGTGTTCTAAAATCTTTGCAGTCATCTCATTATAATGTGGTAGCTGGCTAAAAGTGACTCCACTGGGGTCCTTGACTTTTGCCTTCATTTTTGGCTTTTAATCGCTTCAAATGCCACTATTACCTGATTCATAGCATTAGCCAACCTTTATGAATAAGTGAGATCTCAACAGACAGTAGGAAACCGAGGGCAGATTTTGAAGCCTGGCTGACTTGCTACATACTTTTTGCACCACAGTTGGTTTCAGTTGAAGACCCCTCATGTGTGCTCTTCAGCTGAAGATTAGAGCAGATCTGGAATACCATGTACGTTCAGATCCATCGTACGGGAAGTACTTCCGTTACGATGGGGTCAACCTCTGAAGTAAAACTGAAGCGCAGGTGGTCACTAATGAAGTGATAGTTTGAATTTGCGCCTGCAAATGCTGTGGACATATTGATCTTCTCTTCAACCAAAGGTCTACTCCGACCCGTGCATTACTGACGTCGTCATTTTTTTCTTTACTTTATATTCAGTCAAACAAAGAAGTGAAACTGTACTATCTATTAAGCTATGGCGGAGCCATGATAGCCTTGGCAAGGCTATACTCTACCATTAAGCTATTTCCGCCATAAATGAAGATATATATACATAAATTCGCATAGGGTATGACTCTGTCCGCCGTGAGGCGGACCAGTCAGCCATTGGATCTCCTGAGCCCCTCCCCTGGAGCAAGAGACTGGCTCCATGGGAGGCCGAGTGATTCAACATTAATATCTAGTCCTAATACCGAAATAAAAAATCTATATTTTTCCAAAAACTGATAAGTTTTTGGGCCCGGCCGCCCGAAAAGGAACTGCAGTGATCTTAAATAAAAAACCTACAGCGATAAATAAAATTCCAATAAAGATACCACTAGATTGAGCACCGAACAAAGTGATTTCATATCCAGTGGAAATCTTAGCTAATTCCTCAAAGTTGGTAACTCCAGTAAACCCATAAATCATAGAACAACCAAACAATAATATTCCAGAGGAGAAAGCACCTAAAATAAAATATTCTAAGCCGGCTTCTGTGGAAAATTCAGAGTCTCTTTTTGATGTTGCGATCACATAAAAACATAAACTTTGAAGCTCAATAGCTAAATACATGGCAATTAAATCATAAGCCGAGATCATAAAAAGCATACTGCAAGTAGAAAGTAAAATTAATACAATAGATTCAAAAGCATTCAAACTCTCCTGTTTGAAATAATCCAAACACATAACCATAGTACTAGCCGTACTTAATAATAGAAGTTTGGTGCGATTTGACAAATACATTCAATAGTAACGAGAACCTGATAAACACCTAAAAATATAACAATCTTACAACTGAGAATAATAACCTTTGGAGCCAGTTTTCGTTCACTTTTTACTTCTGTAAAAACGAATGAACATGTTGAATTGCTTATCTTACAATCTGTTATTATTCAAATTGGACATGTTGACAAAATCATATTTATTTCTGCATGATCAATTTATACATATTTGTATTCATATATAAGGTTTTACACACTATCAATTGCCTCAATTAATCTTAAATATTTGTAAAACTCTAAATTTTATTAGTTCTGGACGATGATTACATTCAAGCAAGTTGATTTACAAATCTACGTCGGAAAAATAAAAGCTATCACGTTAACACAATTTGAGTTGATTAGGTTACTGCTATGATGAAAGACTAGAGAACCTAGATCAGATAGCTAAGTTTGAAGTTATAGACTAGCAACCTTCATTTAGCATTTATTATGATTTTTCTAACCGTCGTTCAATTGAAAATCCCAACAATGATCACTGGGTGAAACGATGTTTATAGATATGTTGGCCTATATTCTATTTGAGCTACTTTGTTGACCTTGCTAGCCAGTTACTCCAAAGAAGTCATATCTTGAAGTTGAACAAAATCATTCTTTAGATCAGTGCAATAGAAACATCACTTGGACTTCATTTGCTTGTTTCATTTACATAGAAGCTCAAAATGCAACAGGGATGAATGATGGTAAATGGTAAATAGATCAAGCCAATGGGATCCAAAGGGTCAATAGGTAAAAAACACAATACAAGGAAAACATCCACTGTGAACCCAATCCACTTGAACAAGCCAATCCACAGCCACAACATGCGCTCTCGAGGATAGTTCATTGATCGGGGTCAGCAAACACGCCGGACCTCTACAATGTCAATTATCTACTTAAGTCCGCGTCAGATCATTTGCACGTGAAGTCAATCTATTTCCTCATGAAATTGACTTTCTCACCAAATCGGCATCACCGTTCTCCCATAATAACCGACCTGTTCAACATCAAAGTATCCACTGCTGCTTACATGGCGGGTTTTCAGTCATTTAGTCGATTTAAAGACTCCAATTTCTAAGCAGCCATCGTCAGCAATTTGTTGCCCTTGTGCTTGACGGCGCAAAGTCTCTGAAACAGGTGCTGCATGATGCACAGCCTCTGCACACTACGCAGTCCTACGACTTCTTGGACATTCCACTAAAGCGTCGGTTGACAATAGCGGGCACTGACAACGTGAGACTGTGCTTTCTTCTTTTTACTGCTAGTAGATGTTATGCGGCTACTTAAATCAGAAACAGCTTAAGGTTATGGACAAGGCGAACTCTGGGCGATGGAGTCTAACTTCTCTTTCGAAATCTGCAATCATGGCTAGAGAACTCAAGTTTGTCAATCGATCTGATTAAAAGTTAAAGGTTTCTGAAGAGTCCACATATGTCGAGTTTGCTTTACTGTTCCAGAGCACAACGCGCGTATACTGTTTTCCTGGTCAAGGCGATGTATGGATTGGGTAACTTGTTAGCTCCGTACTCATCGTTGGTCATGCTACTGCATAAGCTTTGACGAAGCACATGAGCTGTAGGCGTAAGAAGAAGGATACGCAACATTTCAATCCATGGGGGCTGCGAGTGGATTCCCGACTTTAAGATTTGGATCTTAAACGAGACGTTTCCCTCTCCTCTTGTCTCAGAGGCTTACTATCCCTTGTTGGATCTCCTACTGACATCGGAATCGCCAGCAAAGAGGGAGTACTCATCCGCGAAGGAAATCTCGTTTCTTCGCGAACTGAGAAGTTGGTGCGGCTGTGAATTCATTTATAATTAAGGCCCGCTCAGTCCAAACATGTTAATTTCGCTTTGTGGTCGGATTTTGCAACCTGTGTAACCAACAATGTTGGGTACACAGGTTCCGAGGCTTTAGAAACAGAGGGAGCGGAGCCGAAATTCAACGTGCGGGTTTGTGGGGAGAAGACAAGACACACGCAAGGGGAGGAAGAAAAAGGTGCTCCTGGTGGGCCAAACACCCATCACTCCGTCTCAAGTTTTCAATCCATCAGCTCCAACTTCGTAAGAATAAAAAATTTGAGTTTAAATCACTTTTTAACAACAAAGCTGGCATGAAGACTTGAGTGATTCTTATCTAATGCTCTGTTGCTCTTTGGAAGTCATTCTCAATGTTAACTTCACTTAGATTCTTCAACGTTAGATCCCGGCGAGGCGCTCAACAGTTCGATCCAGACCTAAGATTAGACGAAGGGCCAAAAGCATGAATAAGTCCGAATGGCGAGATCGGAGACCAAATTCTCGGGCTCTGTCTCGTCGTTCGGGGCCAAAACTCTGTCCTCCTGTCTGGTAATGTACTATTTTCGATTGCTATCGTTATGTACTTAATGTTGCCTCAATGGACGATGAAGGTTTAGGGCTTTTCCTTGGCTTCGTGAATGCTTTGATCGTATAACATTCATCTTGTTGTCTAGGTAGAAGAAAATTTCATTACTGCCATGTTCTTAGACAGCAAGGACTTGTTCATAAAGCTTTTCTAGTCTGAAACTTTGATTTCCTATCCTACCTACCATTCTTCTCGATTCTGACAGAGTCACGGTATGTTCCAACCATAGTCCTGATCAACAATTTTTCTTGTGACTTTTTGGTAAGAGACGATTCAGATAGCAACACTAACGTTTAGGCAGTAAGTCCTGGGAATCCATTTCATCGTCGCTTGCGGCTTCTACAAAAACCATCTCCTCTTTTCTGTTGGTTTCGACAAGGGCTTCTGTTGTCAATTTGAAATGAGGAGGTATGTAAACTGGGTTCAATATTCGATCTCAAATTTTGCGGGATTGATGTTTCAAGACATGTGGACACAATTGCAACACCGAGGTCGAACGTTTTGACAACTTTACAAGCACGCAATTTGACTCGATTTGAGCGGCCTTGATTGGCGTATGCTTCTACGCAACAAGCGTCATGGTTAGTATAAATTCGGAAGAGTCAATTAACTGTAACATATGCATGCAGAATGTCATTGTTAATAATAACTCATGCAAAATGTCATCGGTGTTCTAGGAAACGGATTCCCTATCACTATCCAGGAGGATGTGATGCTACACTCTAATATTTACTACGACTTTCATGCGCCATCACTTCCAGCACTAAAGCATGCAACTGAGAGACGATGGTTTTCGTTGTACTGATTGTCTAGAACAGATCCTGTTCAAACTTTCCAATTTTAGTTGAGGGTATATCTGCGACCAGGCAGATTTTGGTCTGAAAAGCAACAAAAAGACAAAGCCATCACACGATATTTTACATGATCACATTCGAACACACTACGCGGATTTTGAGAGCGATCTCCGGCTCTCTTAACGCGAAGTATATAGAATCTGGACACGGAGAGAGGTCTTGGACCTCTCTCCTAAAAAATCGGTTCTTGCATTCAAATGAATAGTTCTTCGATATTCGAATCATGATGTGCAATGTTTCCATTTAAGGCCAATTTTCATACGATTATATATATATATATATATTTATCTGTGTAATATTATATAATCTCAATTATACACATCCAAATCTAGCAGTAGTTTAGAGTGGACTCTAAACTACTGCTAGAAAATTTTGCGTTTAATTAACTATTTGACATTAACTATGAAACTTCAAAACTGCTCAAGACAATTCTCGACTAGAGTTATGAAGTGGTGGGGAAAGCTTGTAAACCTTCACAAACACTGCCTGTCATTATGTCCATTGATTATATTCACTAAGTTTTTAATAACTCTAATGTACACTAATTACTGCTACAGTACTGTTTTATTGCTATCCAACCTCCTCGACACGACGACCCCCTCTTCCGGTCGTACTCGGTGCACATAAGAATGTACATCGGGGACGGTTGTTGGTCACAGCGACGAAGATAGGGAACAAACAGCGACGACGATAGAGACGGCGTAGCGCTGATGGACGCGGCAGAGCCCACCCACAACGGGCCGATTACAAGAAGGCGTTACGTGCCTCTCCTCAGCCGAAGCCCTGCTCGGGCGCCTCTCCGTGCCGGAGAACGTCTAGCAACGGTCTGGAGATCAGGCCGATTACAAGAAGGCGTTACGTGCCTCTCCTCAGCCGAAGCGGCTCGGGCGCCTCTCCGTGCCGGAGAACGTCTCGCAACGGTCTGGAGATCAGCGCGTGCTTTTAGAACAGATCTTTAGGGGTTTATATCTTTAGTCTCATGAGGGGCTAATGACACAGGACGAGCTCTCCCGTGGCGACCCGATGTTTCGTGCATGTGAGCAGAGATTGTGTCCAGAGTAATCTTCGCTGCTTGACCTCCATTCAGAGACATGAAGAGTTTTCAGCCATTTTCTCCATCGTGCCTCGTGCCTCCTGGATCGATGCTTGAAGAGAGATACAATGACGGCCATATCATCGTGATAGTCCGGCCGTTGTCCACATGCTCAACATGATCTTGTCTTCACGAGTCCTGGCTGCTATTTGTAGAGCACTTTTCATAAGCAACTGGTAGATATGCTGCGCAAGTGATGCAGCATAAAGCATGAAGAATCTATTGTTAGCCCCTGATGATGACACTGACGAGAGCAAACTACAAAACAAGTTACTCAAATTTAAAACTTAAGGCCTGGTTGCCGTCTGCTGTGAGCCAGACGAGTGCGATTTCCAACGATAATTTCATCTATAATATTGACGAAATAATCCTTGATTGTCGTTGTTGTTTGGATAATTTTCATATAAAAAATCAACATTGAGATAATGTAATCACTTTTACCAAAGTATAAACTTTGGCGTTCATGCTCAATTTGCAATCAATATACTCCCTGCAATTTTACTCACCGCGATTCATGTACTCATTGCAATTTTGTTTGGTTCATTTAGCACTTCTTGTCAAGTTTTCTTTTTTGAAATACTTGTTTCTTTCTAATTCATGGAGATCACTGGCTTTCTCTCTTATTTTAT